GTAATCCTCTCGTGCAATATCGATTCCAGAATCTGTAAACAGTCGACCAGTTCCGGAGAACAAAGTCTGGTAGGCTTCCATGAAATTCGTTTCACTGGCCCTTGCTAGTTTCAAGGTGATGGGTTTGAAAGGTCTCTGTTCCCCATCGATTGTAAGACTTATAGATGTTGCTCCATACAGTTTAAAATTGTAAGGGTTTTTGGTATAGCTTCCATTGAACGCGGTAGAGTCGACCATGGCTAGTACTACACGCTTAGGAACTTGCCCATTAAACAAATCTCCTTTATGAATGGAAGGATTTCCTGAAGGTATGGTATAGGTCTTGCAGTCAGTTCTCCTCATGGGATAGATTGCATTCACTCCCTTCTTCAGCTCGTTTAAGTGCTGCAATTGCAGCGTCGGGCTCACTTTCACTGCACGAACCTTTAAATTGGCGCTTTGGATGGCAATCTTGTAATTGGGATTTGTCTCTCCTGACATTAAGGCAAACGCTGCAGTATTCGGATTTAATTTAATGGTAACGTCTACATGATTTAACAAGAGACGATCACCAAACAGTATATCACAGTGCAGGGGTCCCCATAAATCGACGATATAGCTTTTCTTAGTAAACGAATAGCGAGTTTGCAGCCCTGTATTGCCTCCCGCACCGGTGCAATCTGTCTCGTCCATGGACCCTGCCGTGTCTTTGTAGTAAAGCCCTGCTGTGAGATGGGACTTCTTAGCTGACAAGCCGTAGTTTAATATGGTCTYCAGCATGCTTYYGTAACTGTAGGTCCCAGTGGATTGTGTCACTTGAATTCCATTTAGAAATACATCCACTTGCTTGAATAAACTTTGCAGAAAATTATTGACAGGTGCTACTTTTTCATCAGTGGTTAGATCAGAACCATTAGCTTTAGTGATTTTCAGTTTGATGAATAGCATACTCTTGGCTAAATCCAGATAATTCTCAGTTCCTGTAACTTGAAATTCAATGGGTGCCGAGGAAGAAATGGAGGAGATGGGCTGATATTCAATCCATTGACTACCGTCTATCACGACTTGAGTTGGAGGAGCTGTAAACAGATCTAGTTCACTTTYCATACACGGGATGGAATGAGGATGCACAAAWGCCATTCTAATCCTTGAAGATATCGTCGAGAGGAATCTTAGGTCTTTTCGCTTTGCTTGCTTGCGGTAAAGTGATCTTTTTCTGTGAAGGCTTTCTTTTTAAACTCTTTCGCGTTCTTAATCCTCCACTTCCGACTTGAGATGCGATATGGTCAAGGGCTTGTTGCTTCACAGTTTGCGCTGTCTGTTGTAACCTTGCTCGAGCAGAGTCTTTCAGGTTGTTTCCTGCCAAAACATCCTTAGCAACGTTCATTCYTGTATCGAGAGCTGCTTTCCCCAGAGATTTAGCTCCGCTTTGTAGAAAAGGCATGGCTTTCCTAGCTAAGGATTGAAAAAAGGATCCAAGGCCATAGCCTACTTGTCCATAACCTCTTTGAAAACGTCCASCGTGAAACACCATCATGTGCCCAGCTCMACTTTGTTTCGTCATCTTATCGAAAGTAAGGGGATTGACGAAGTCTGAAATGTAACGTTATCACTACGCGTCCACGTTCAAATGGTACTTTATTCCCCGAGTCGTCGGTTATAAGAACTTCCAAAGTTTCAAACTCGCGTGTAGTCAGTGGCATGTACTGAGGGTGTTCATAGTCCTTCGTAATTATTTCCCCA